TATATATATATATATCAGTAGGTATTGCACACAACTGATTATTTACTGTAACAAGAGAGGGATTGAAAAGAATTTCATCAATAGACTCGTGATAGAGACATCTATCTGCTAATTTCCCTAAAAAACAAAATCTCCTTTTCAAACCTAACCTAACCTAAAAATTCTCCCTCGTCATAACAAATCAATCAACCAAAAAATAATAATAATAATAATAATAATAAGAAATCCACATCAATAGGATTCAAAATCCCAAGCTAATTTCCATCAAAAGAACGTAACATTAACCAGACTTTAGATCAAAAGCTCACCTGTTTAGAGCAGAAAGAGAAGGGAGAGATCTGAAGAGGAGAGGCGGAGAAGCTCCTTGCAGAGAAATGAGACAACAATGGTGACATTGCAGCAGCGAATCCATGGCCTTATATCGATCTGAACGAGCATCTGAGGGGCAGGAAGAGGTTCGAGGATAGGTTTTTGATAAGGTTCCTCCACCCACGCCGGATTCGGCTTCTTCTGCAGTGTGCATTGTTCGCAGAACTCTTTCCACTTGACTTGGAGTTGGGGCCGCCTGAGCATTTACATAGATACCACCCACTTTTTCTGTATTTACATATTTAAATAACTAAGCTTTACTTTTTACATTTTTACTACACATATCTTTGATATTTAGAGAATTGACACAATTCTTATGTATTTATGTATATCACCCCTAAACATTCATATTAGATAGATAAATATATATGAATTACGTGGTGCATATGTAAATCTAGTTTATTTTATTTTTTTCCTTAACCTTTGTTGAAAACGAAGAAGAGGTTGGACCCTTCTTTCTTTTTAAGGGTATATGGGTTCATTCTCTCTCTATCACAAAATAATAAATTAACTAACATATAGGGCTTTTAAATGCATACCATCCTAATTATTATGTATTTACATATCTTAGATCTAAACTTTACTTTGGACATCTTAGATCCAAACTTTACATATCTTAGACCTAAACTTATATATATAAATTAAAACGGGCAATGAAAGTAGATTTGGAGAAACGATAGTGGAGACCAATTTGAGTTGAAGGAGTGACAGCAAGGATTGTGTCATTACCTACGAGACCTTTGATGCTCGCCTCCTTCAACTCTCCAATCGAAGGTCTCGTAGGTAACGTTGCAATTCTTGTATCTCGTTGTAGAGGTAATACCGCAGTGGGAGAGCTTCGGGTACCTTGTTGTAAAGGTACCAAGTGTCTGTTGTGGCTCCCGTTAAGTGACACGCCCATAGCTCAATTAGGAGGTTAGAATGTCTGGCGTATTTTGATATGAACAGCAATCGACCACTAACCAAATGGTATGACCAACTGAAGAGGTTGGATCATTTTGCATGATCCGAGTCATCCGCTATGCTTCTTGTAAGGAACTGACAAAAATTAACAGTGGTTCCCATCAAGTGAAGCACCCATCACAACATCGAGGTAGCCAGAAAGACCGAAGCGTCCTGAATGAAGCGGTCAACTAAATAGTGGCTTTAATAGTGTATTCAATTGAGAATGTTTGATTGTCTCATATGATCTGGGTTGTCTATTGTGCTCTCATAGAAGAACCGACTAAAGCTTTATATGGTCCGAGAGGCACTAAAATGGGTGGTCGAAAAGTCAGAAATGTCAAACGACGAGATGTTCTCATGAAATAGTCGACCAAAATGGTCACGAAGCTCGAGTGACATCATATGTTGAAATGCATTGGTAAGAAGTTGGGCAATTCTTTGTGCTTAGCATCAAAATTTTGTCGGTTATTAACATATTGCGACTAAACATGAATCAATTAGATATCGAAAGTGATATAACTAATGCAGCATGTCACCTGACGAGGTGATGAAAATCGACCAAGTCTAAAATGGTGTCGAAGAAGGGCTTGGATTTACAAAGCAATCCAACCTCACAATGCTTTTTGCAAGCTTTAGCAAAGTGACCTTCATTGGGGAATTTTATGGGGCATGAAGTTATCCCGCTGATACATGGATCAACTAAACAAACTAAAAGCATGAGTTGATGTAATGTACCTTTCTGCATGATGAATAGAGTCAGTTGAGTCGATCAAAATTCTAAAGAAGGTGTCAAAAAGAGATTGGATGCATGAGACGGTCCAATCTTGGGTTGCATTTCATATGCTATTGCTCAACAGCCCTGCTGGGGGTTTCCTCAAGAGCAAGCAGAATTGTTTCTCGTATAGGAAGATGTCACCATTCGATCATATATCAATAGTCTCAATTAGACATGTATTAGTTATACGAGTATGTGCTCTAACTGATACGACATGTCTATTGGCAAGACAACAGGTTTTACAAGTCATTCATTATGTTGAAATGGATCGGGTGGACTAAGTGGTCCAACCATTGTGGGATACCTTTATTAGGAGCATATCAAGAAAAACTGTCATTGGGGATTCTCCAAGGATGGAAAGGTAATTTCTATTGGAAACATATCACAAAGCAATCGGACACTTGGGGTTAGATGAACCACTAGTTCATCTCTGAAGAGCTTTTGACCGAGCAACACGACATAGAATAATACCTGCTTGAGGGAAACTGAGGCAACACGACATAGAGGCAAATTGGGATATTCGACAATGCTTTTTGACTCATTTATATATATATGTATATGTATGTATACATATATGTATATGTATATATATATGTATACATATATGTATATATATATCTATATATATATAGATATATGTATATGTATATCTATAGATATAGATATATATATATATATATATATATGTATATATGTATATATATATATATATATGTAT